ATATATATCCTATGGCTTATGTCTCTCTGACAAACCTTGCCCAGTGCAGAAGGTCTTGGGACAATATAACTACCCTAACAAAGGAGCCAGAGTTCCAGAAATAGAGTGAAAATTTCCACTTCCAGTCACCCTGGAATGAGGCCTCCCACTGAGGATATAAGGAGCAGCCTCAGACTGGGTGGCAGAAGATGACTGTGAGCTCCAATACCCAGCATGTCTTGGTCACTGGCAGGGTGTGGGCAGCTTTTTCAGTGATCAGAGTTGGACCCATGGGCTCTGAGCATGTTACCCCAGGAACAGTTAGCAGCAATATTTAACATCCAAGTCTTTCTCCCTTTCCAAAACTTTGAGTCACATCAGCAAAAAAAGTCCCAGCCAGTTCTTCACTGCTCCTGTGGCAGGAAGGAGAAGGTCTGTCCTGGGCCCAGCTAGGGCAGGGCTGCAGTAGCTGGAAGCAGAAGGCAGGGAGCTGAAGCAGAGAAAGCAGCCCCACCTGGGAAATGGGAGGCAGTGGTCCAGAGAACCACGGCTGGCTAAACTGACAAGAAAGATAAATCTGTGAAACATGCCACACTCCCCAGCAAGAGAGACCTGGTTTTACAAAGCAAAGTGAAATGAGAGAGGGGAAGAATAAATAAAGAGAAGTATAAAGGGAAGGGAGAGGGAGAGAACCTTCTAGAAATTGAGATGAAAGCTTAAGCATCACAATGAAAACCTTTAAAGGGGGAGCCGCACTAGAGACTGGCAAAATCGGGGGCTGGCTTGTAAATAAATAAAGCAGTAAGGAAAACTAAAAATAATTGTGTGACCAGATACAGAACTGAGCCCATTACCTATCAATCAGCTTTTTATTGTTGTGATAAATGCTCAAGAATATTAACTTACAAGAGGAAGATTTATTTGGGGGCTCGAAATTTTAGAGGTTTCTGTCCGAGGTTGAGCAGCTCCATTGTGACAGGCCAGTGGTGAGGAAACGACATTGTGGTAGAAGGGTGTAGTGGAGGAAAGCCTGACAGCCAGAACAAAGAGAAACCAGAAAGCCGGAGAAGAAAGGACCCGAAACAGCACAAATCTTTGAAAGCCATGTCCCTATTGACTTGTTGCAGTCAGTTAGGTCCACCTCCTAATAAACCCATTGGGCTATGAACTCATTAGTGGATTATCCTTATTCTTTTATGGTCCTTTCACTTCCCCAAAGTGTCACCTCTGAATAGTGCAGTGTTAAGGACCAAGCACCCAACACAGGAACCCTGGGGGGCGGAGCATCATTTAGAGCACGACAGTTTCCACTGCTCATTTAATTTATACCTGACAACAGCTCTAAGCCTGGCGTAGTTAGCTCACTCTATAGATGTGAGAATTAAGGCTCAGAAAGTTTAAATACACTGTTCAGATTCACATCACTAGGAGCGAGGACAGTCAGGAAATTGAATGTGGTCCTGTTTGACCTCAAATCAAGTCCCTTTAGATGTGTTCTGCAGACTAACATGCCCCCAAAAACCCATTCTAAAAATGAGAAAGGGGAGGTTTGAGCAAAGAGCATTGGAAAATCTCATGTTATTGTCCAGTTGGAAGGTTATGGCCCATAACAGCAGGCTGTGGGGGACGGTTCCCACTGCATAACACCCCAGGTAGTGATGTTTAGCTTCATGCGTCAACTCCACAGGCAACAGTACTCAGATCAAACACTAGTCTAAACACTGCTCTATGTTTTCAGATGAGATTAACAATGAAATCTGTAGACTGTAAGTAAAACAAATTGCCCTCAAAATATAGGAGCATCTTGCCAATCAGTTAGAGAGAGAGAGAGAGAGAGAGAGAGAGAGAGAGAGAGAGAGAGAGAGAGCTTAAGAAGATGAAATTCTACCTGTAGTATACCTTTGGACTTAAATGCAATGTTAGCTCTTCTCTGACTCTAGTCTCCAGCCTTCCGGTCCTACCTTCAGAAGTTTGGACTTCCCAGCCTCCATAATCACAGGGCCAATTCTTTGCTATAACTCTCTCTGACTATATAGATAGTTAGCCCTCACTATCCATGAAGGATTCACTCCAAGACTCCCTGCTGATACCAAAATCCACAGTGCTCCAGTCCCTTACATAAAATGGTGTAGTATTTTTATATATTATACATGTTCCCATGTACTTGAAATCACTTCTAGATGACTTATAATACCTAATGTAATGTAATGCTTTGTAAATATTTGTGATACTGTTTAAGGAATACCAATAAGAAAAACATTTTTGAATATTCAGTACAGCCAGAATTTAAAACTTTTTTTCTACCCATAGTTGATTGAATCCACAGAGGTGGGGAAACATATCTTATGTAACATATATCCTACGGGAATGTGTTACCTGCGTTGAAATTATGTGCATTAGATGAGAGATGATGGATTGATGGATAGATAGGTATACAAATCTCTGTTGTTTTCTTGGAATAATGTTGATTAATACACAAGCCTAACAATACCTTTCTATCATGTTCATGAATTATAAAACTCAGGAACACAGCAAGGACCACACACCTGATTTCTGGCATTTTAACTGGGAAGATTCAAATGGCTGGGACTCCAAAGGCTAGAGCTTGGGAGTGCAAGTTTAGGTAGATTTTTTTTTCTCACCTTTTTGCACATGGACGGACTAACTAGAGAACTAGGTTCAGCTAAGACCTCAGGCCAGAGAACATACATGTCTACTGGTGGCTCCATACTGTAGCAAATGGCCTGGCTTTTTACAACCCAGCCTTAGAAATCACACATTGTCATTTGCACCATAGCCTGTTAGTCCTGGATTCAAGGGAGGGAACAGAGGTGTTAGTTCTCAATAGGAAGAGTGTGAAAAATTTTGAGACACATTGCAAAACCATTTCAGAGACTCCAAGACAGAAATCTGTTTAATTCTGTTCAACCCAGATTTTCTCAAGATCCCCCTCATCTGTTGGTTTGTGTTGAATGCTATAGCTCTCAAATTCAGATGTTAAAGCCTCAGACCTCAGGACATCATTGCCTGACTTTATCTGGAAATAGAGTGGAGCCAGATGTCAATACTTATATTAAAATGAGGTCACACTGGAATAGGTTGGTCCCCTCCTTCGATATGACTGTGTCCTTATGCAAAGGGAAAATCTAGACATGGTTACTTATACAGACAGAACACTGTGTAAAGATGAAGAGTGAAAAGAGGGGCATAACTTTTGCATCAAAGAACCCCAAAGATTGCCAACAACCCATCAGAAGTGAAAATGAAACACAGAGCAGATCCTTCCCTCACAGCCTCAGAGGAAGCCAAGCCTCTTGAATTTGGCTCTCCCAGTTATAAGACAATAAAACAATTTATGTCACTTAAACCACCCAGTGTGTGATGCTTTTATTGTTGTAGCATCTCAGGCAAATAAATGCAGGTGTTAGCGGCATTCATTCTTTAATTCATTCAGCCAAATTCATGACTTCCTAGCGCAGCCTCTGCCACACTCTAAACTCCACTTCAATTCTTTCCTTCCCCTTATTTGTGTTCCTGAAACAAAAAATTTTGTAAAGATTAAAGAAAATTATAGATACAAAAGCCTGTGAAATAGGATTAAATAATCAATAATTACTAGGATAATTGATCAATCTCTTTTTCAAATTTTGCTGCCACGTGTTCGCTTCGGCAGCACATAAACTAAAGCTGGACCAATGTAGAGAAGGTTAGCATGGCCCCTGCACAAGGATGATGTGCAGATTCTTCTTTTTTTAATATTAATTTTATTGAGAAAGAAATAGCAATGAGACAGTTTCAAAACAGGTTAGTAGAACAGTTACAATAATAAATACATTGCATATTGTTGTCGTCATAGTAGTTATTCAGAGTCCAAGATGCAGACATGATATGTTGTCTAAACACTCTTAGTTCAAAACTTTCTTCTCATTGAACTAAGAGAAAGTAACTGTATATCTATGGTAACTATTTTGAATATGCAGAATTTTTTTTCACTACAAAATAGTCCTTTGTTTATATCCCCCATTTTTGTTTAGTTTTGTCAGAGATGGGTATTCCATTGCCATTCAAAGATGGTATCTGCATGAATTCAGCAAAGTAATCCAATATAGTCCAGTAGACGCACAGATTCATGAAGAATTCCATATTGTTTCCATCTAAAGTTCTACCTTAAAAGAGGTAGAAAAATAACAGCAAATTAAATCTAAGAAAAGTAGAAATGAACAAGTAGTAAAGATGAGAATAGAAATCAATAAAATAAAAAAACAGATGATTCATCTAAAAAATCCCTAAAATCTGGCTTTTTAAAGACATAATACATGGGGCTGGTGAGATACCTCCGTGAACTAAAGCATCTGGTTAAGCAAGCACAGGGACCCTGGTTCTATCCTGCCACCACATGCCTCACCAGCCCCATACCCCCAGGGGGCGCTAAGCTAGCTAGAGTCCCTACTCAGTACCACATGCCTGTAATTGCAGCACCAGGGAGGCTGAAAACAGGAAAATCAGTTTGAGTCCAAGCTATGTATTGAGACTTGCAACAACCAAATATATAATAATAATAATAATAATAATAATAATAATAATAATAATATTGTATTGACAACAACAAAAATTAAGTAAATGTGATTTTAGGAAAACAAATTACAAATACCAAAAATTAACAGAGGAAAAGCCAATAGTTTCTACAGAAAATAAAAGTTATTAGAGAACTCATACAAAAATTTTGTCCTCTCTCAGTGAATCTATCTTGTTCTACTGAAATCATTGGATTTGCTTCTCTGGTTGAACTCTGTGTCTTATTCTAGACACCTGAGCTTCCTGGCTCCTACACAGATAGGCCTGACTCTTTCATCCTCATGAGAATTTCCCTTTCCTGCTCCAGGTGGAGCCGCAGGCAGCCCCAAGACTGGGCAAGGGCTCTGTAATGATAAATCTGGATGACCAAAATGATGGGAGTGAGAACCGCTAGGACATTAGGAAAGCACACTTCTGGATGTATCTGTGATGGTGTTTCCAGAAGGGGCTGGCAAATGGAACACATTGATGGGAGAGACTGCCCTGAGCGTGGATGGCACGGCCTGATGCAATGGGGACCCAGGGAAAACAAAAGCAGAAGGAGAACACTCATTAGAGCAAGTTCTCTGCTCCAGATGCCAGTGAGCAGCTTTGCCCCTCCACACCCCTCCACCATGATGTTCAGCTTCACTTTACCTCTTCAGCAAGGAAACCAGCGGATCACAGACTGAAACCTCTGATATTTGATACTTGAACATTTTCTCCTTTTTTGTCAAAGAGACAGAAAGCTAACTAATGCAAGCTAAGGAGCAAATGCTGGAGGACAGGTCATGGAGGCATCTCTAGGTTTCAAGGAAGAAGGTGAAAGGGGACAGTGGTTGAGCGATACAGAGGAAACACTGCTGAAGTATGGGGAGAATGCATGCTGGACTGGCCTGAGTATAACTCAGCTTGTATCTTTGGGGGAGCCTCTGAATTTCTCTGGGATTCAGTTTCCCCATTTATGTAATCCAGGTATCTCCGTGGACCTGCTTTCCCTTTGACACCCAGGCAAAACTGATAGACGTACTTGGTACAAATTGTAGAAAGTCTGGTGCCCTCCATCACAACTCCAGAGACGCTATTTTGCTCTCAGCTCTATTTAGTGATCATCATGATGTGCCACCTGTGCTATCATAGTCTTCTCTAGGGCTTGCAGATGAAGAATTGCGCCTCTCAAACTCCACTGCCCATAGGAAACATTTGCATGGGTGATCCTGCAGTGGGCACATGTCGTGTCTGCTTCCCACCACCGATGCTGCGTTCCTTCCAGGTCCATGTCAATCCAAGCGGAAGCAGATGTGACGTCATCTGTGGGTCCAAGATTGAACACGTGACCCAGCCCGGAGCAAACACAGCTCTCCATCCCCCTGGCCAAAATGGATCTTGGAGAAAGAGGGCTGCGAACTAACATCTCATGAGCAAAGCTAGATTGTAGAAATAATATATTTTAAAGAACCAAATTTTGGTGACATTATTTAAGACCCGAAATCCAGCCATGCCTGGTGTACTCAATTTCATATTTAAATAAACACCCCAAGCTTATTTTCCTTAATCCAATTTGAGTTGTAATTTTATCCCTTGTTCTTAAAAGAGACCTGGCTAATTTTAAACCCTGCTAAAAACTTGAGCAGGTACATGAATTTACAATGGTAATGCAAATAATACAAATTTAGTATTAGATGTCCTTGTTTCTAAAAGCTTTTTTACTCTCTCTTTTTTTTTACACTCAAGTTCAGCCTACCCCACCTGCTGTTTGCATCAATGTGCTCTATTCCAAATTCCTGTTTATTCATTGTATAGAATGGTTGAGCTACTCTCTCCCCTGCACAAACCTACCAATAAGAATTTATGAAGGTATTTTCCTAAACAAAGACAATTCCCTCCCAGGGGGAATTCTGTTACCAGCTATTGATAAAATAAAAATTTCACTCCTCTGTATATAATATGAAGAGGCTGGACAAGACCTCCTATACGATTCCATACAACTTAAGAGCTATAGTGTTCAAAATATAATAAAGCCATTAAAACTGCAGCATAGGAGAACGTTTTTGAAAACGCAAGTCACAATCCATTAGTGAGTCTTGAAATAAACTTACTGGGTCATTACCAGTACTTTTTTTTAAATGAAAGAGAATAAAACAGGAAATAACAGAGTACATCATACATAATGGAGGTGAGTATAGGTTCATGAAATTTCTATTTCAATTATAAATGTATGAGTATTGTACATACACTATACTGGATTATAGTTTAAAGTATTATTACTCACTGTGTATCATGGTACAAAAATTTTGAAAGGCAATGGTATAAATCGCTGTTCACTAAAGGAAAATAAAACAGAAAGTTAAAAATTAATATATATAATTTTCCATAAACATCAGAAATATATATATATATATCTGAAAAAATATGGAATTGTATATATTAAAAGGTAAATTATCCTTGGGCAGGGGAAAATTATATTTTTTAAGTTTTATATGTATACTTTCTGTGTTATCTAATATTTTCAAAAAGACATGTTTTACTTCTACAGCCAAAATCTTTATAAGGTTTAATTTATTTTGAAAGATAAGTATACTCTGAAAACCCTCTAAGGAAAATACTTAGAAAAAATATATTCAAATACCAACAGTGCCATTTGTATTAGTCCATTTTCCACTGTTATGGCTTAATACCTGAGGCTGGATACTTTATACAGAAAAGAGGTTTAGTTAGCTTGCAGTTTTGGAGGCAAAGTTCATCCAGCATGGGACCACCTGTGGTGAGTGATTCGCTTACCTTGAACACATGAGATCTTGGAGCAAGTGCAAGAAATCATGTGGCAGGAAAAGAAGCCAGAAAGATATTCAGGAACCAGTCTCACTCTTTCATAAAATCCTAGTCTTCAATGAGTTAACTTCAGTCCTGCATGAGCTACCTTAGTCTCTTCAGAAGGCAGTCCCTGCAAAGATCTAACCACTTCATCTCTTAAGGTTCCACTGAGTCAACACCAGGCAAAGAAGAACGGGCCTCCAGCAAGTGAGCACTAGGCTATAAATGGACATTCAAATCATACCACCAATGATAAGCACTTTTAAAACATTCTCTCTGGGCAATGGGGAGGCAGTTCAGCAGTCTAAGCACCTGCCTGGCAAGCACAAGGAGCTGGGTTCAATCCCAGGTACCACATGCCATGCCAGTCCTGGAACCCCAGGTGCACTGTGCTAGCCCCAAAACTGGGAGTGGTGGTGCACACCTGTGATCCCAGTGCTGGGGAGGCTGAGACACAAGGATCACTATGAGTCCAGGCTGTATAGTGAGACCCTGTACCAAATAAATAAATAAATAAATAAATAAATAAATAAAAGATTTTTCAAAACTTTTGTTCTTTTTGTTGTTATTGTTAACTCTTTTTATCTCATATATTTCCCAGAGGAACAAGTGTAAATGAAAGAGAAAAATCTTTATTGTGGGCTTCATCTTCTTTGAATTCATTATTCTTCAGTGGAAGAAAAGTTCGCAAATAAAACTCAAAAATTCCAAAACTACAATCAAGGGAGAAAGCAGTTGGATTGAGCCAGGTAGGGAGCTAGAGGGTGAGAGAATATGAAAATCTTTTGCATTGATTTTCTACATCAGTGAGTTCCTCTTCTTTTACCTACTGTCTAATGAAGGTAGACTGCAACTATTATACACTCCAAATGTCATATTCCCCAACATCTGTTTGAAAGAGCATAATTTATTGAGAAAGAAGTGTCACTGGAGCTGAGAAAGAGAGAGACAGTTTCTACCAAAGTGCCAGAAGTCAGAAGATGTGTAGACAGAAAACAGTAGCACGCCTCGAAGGCTGTCCTTGGACAGGATGCAAACGGGCCTAGGACAACACTAACAGACACGATGCCAGCAGAGACCCTTCAAGGAAGAGAGAGATTGTCAGAAAACTTTAAAGCTGAGCCACCCGGTGCATCTGTCTAAACAATGATGCCTGAGAGAAGGTAAAAGCAGAAACATCACCAGCAAATGCACAGCTGAATGGTGAGTCCAAAATTGCAAGTTATAAATAGGGAGAAATAGGATGGGGTGGAGGGGAAAGAGGGAGACAGAGAAGGAAAACAATAGTAGTAAAGTAAATTCTTACCTGTCACTAGCTCAGAACATCAGGATGAAAAACATCCTGGCAAAGGGATTCATTTGGAGGAGATACACGCCAATCAGAAATTCCAGCCTCG